CCAGGCAGCTCGTGTCTGGTGCTCTTACACACGGGAACCCACCTCAAAATACATCTTCAAATCCATCACCCAGGCTGTGCTTGGAGGTGTCACTTCGCCAGAGGTGGCTTTCACGTTGCTGTCGTGGCCAGCTGTGGCTGTGCTCCGCTCGTTCTGCAGTACCACCTACAACTGGAGCCCGGCACCGCCTGCCATCACGTGTTGTGGCAGCGTGGGCATCCCTGTAGCAGCTAACAGGTCAACTCTAGTGGAAATGGAGGCCAAATTCCTGGGGTCAAATGCCAGGATTTGTGCCTTCACTGGCAGACACAAAGGGCTCTGTTTCTTTTATTCTTCAAGGAATAAAAGGCCGGTCGTGGTGGTGGCGTTTGTGTGCTGATCTCTGCGAGGCTGCCAAGAGCCCTGTGCCCCTTCTTGTTTCCCACGTGTTTGTGCGATGCCGTGTCCCTCTTGACAGAGGGTTGCAGTTGTCTCCCACCTCTCCAGCAGCAGCAAAACGCTCCCGGTGTGGCCGGCAGAGCTCAAGGAGGTCGGGAGTGTAAACCCAGCCTAAAATAATCAGATATATTGATAGCCAGCTCTGCCCTGCAGCTCGCCCCTGGCATCCTGCTGGTGTGATGGGGAGAACCGGGCCACGACAGATTTTAAAAAGTCCGCTCTTTCAGCAGGCAGCACCTCCCAGGATCCAAGGGTGATGGCAGGCGCGAGCCTCACCTGATGCATTCCAACATCTCCAGCCAGGACTGCACCAAAACCGGGCTGCTTTTGTTCTGTCCTTCGCGTTTTGCACAGCAAAAGCAGAAGCCGAGTCTGCGTCTCCTCTGCCAGTGGCTCTGTAACCATCTCTTTTGTTCTGTGTCTTTCAATTTTGGCTGCCGGGGCAGTGTGGCATCGTGCCACGTAGTTAGGAACGTGGGCTAGCGTGGCGGTCCCGGCTGCCCTCCTGCACCGTGACGGCCCTCCCGACTCCTTCCCGCGGCCGCTGCCGGCTCTAGACTTAGGTTTGACCATGCTTGTTGCATTTTTGTGGCCTTTGCCCGCGATTAATTGTAATGCCAGAAGCATCTCATGCATCTGCTGTTCACGGGATGACTTTGATGTGTGGTGGCCATGGCTGATCACTTGGTTGATGTTTTATAATCACGTTGTGTGTATTCTAGATGAAGTTCTCTTCTGGCTGGCAGGGCCCGTCATGGGGGAGGGAGGAAAACTGCAGGGAGGAAGGGAAAGGCATCTTAAAACACAAATGTGACTCATTCTGTAGAAATTCAAATTAGAGTTTGCTGATTTTTAGAAAAAGAACTCTGAAAGAGCTTTTTTTTTTCCCCCCCTGAAAGATCATCTTCAGAAATAATGGAAGGGGGAGAATATTTTCAGACCTTCTGTGGACGCTAAATGTAGCCAGCAGAGAACTTCATACTGCACTGGTTTTGTTTTGTTTTGTTTGTGGCTGCAAGTCATCAAAGTGACCTTACCTTGGGTTGTGTGTTTTGTTTTGATCGATGAGTTCCATCTGTCCACCTAATTCAGAAGTCCAAACTGCACAGTATGATTGAAATTTCTAGCTAAATTATTAAAACCCCACAGACCAAAAGAACATTCCCTTTTACGTAGAAGCAGATTCTGGAGATGCTGAGTGTGATTTCTCCAGTGCGGTAAACTATGGCGTGTGGTGTGCGCTTGGGTATGTATTGGGCTGGGATGTATTTCTGGACGGAGTGCACGAATACTTACTGTCATCTTAGCTAATGGTGCTTTTTATTCAAAGTAGCATCGAAGAGCTGGAATTTTTCCTTGCTGAGCAAAAAAGTAGTGCAGGATGTCGCGGATTTGCTGTCCCTGGAGCACGCCGTGGGAGCTGCGATGGAGGACCTGTGCATCTGAAAGCAAAGCCGACGTGTGGAGTTTCTCGGGGACGAGTTGGGACCGTGTGCTCACCCTGACATCCCTGTGCGTGGCCATGTCCTCCCCATGGGGTGTGCTGGCTCCGAAGAGCAGTTGGGTGGCAGCAAGGGACATGGGGGGTGACCTGTGGAGCTTCTCAAACAGGACGATGCTCAGGCTGGATTGCTCGGGAGCTCTCGGACCGGCCTCCTCGTTCCGCATGAAAAGCGCAGGCCTCTCCTCAGCTGTTTTTTTTTAGTGAGTCCTGAGCACGAGGATTGTGCATTTGGGTTTGTTTGTTGTGTTTTGTGGAGTGGTTTTAACTTTATCAAGCCCTGGAGTAGCAGGAAGCCCAGTAGTGGGACACTAGTAGGGAGAAGCAACAGGCAGCCAGAGCGTCCGTCACCCGTCTGGGATGCCGGCGGTTGTCCGAGCTGCTGACTGAGAGCAAGAGGCGTGCGTGGGGTCCGCGTGTCCCACCCCCGGCAGTTGCATGGGGCAGTGCCTGGGGTGCCCCCGCAGAGCCTTTCCCCGGCCCCCAGCGGGCCAAGAGAGCGGTATTGCCCCTCTGCGTTACTTAAAACAACCCAAACCCCCGCCGACCAAGCGTGAGGAACCTCTGGGTCGGGACTAGGCCCAGCTCCTCAGCAGAGGCGGCAGTTGGTGCTGCCCGGTGTGAGTACGTGGCATGGAGTGCCCTTGGTCTGAACTGGTGCACAACCTGTAGCTCTGATTCAGCCGTGCCAGACTCGGTTAGGTCAGCGCTGAAACAGAAGCGATTCAGTGAATTTCTGCTGCCTCGTCCCATTCTTGTTGGTCCCAGGGCGATGTCGGGTACGGTGCACTTGTGGACTGCAGGCTGTGAGGTCCCTTTCTCTGCACTACGCCAGGGATGGCTCTGGCCTCTGGAGATGGCCTTGCACTTGGTCAGCCAAAGGTTGAGGTGCTGGTCTCCATCGTCCATCCTCCTCCCCAGTGCCGCTCCTCTGGGGGCGGCCTCGTTCCATCGGAGGCCCCGGAGGCAGTGTTGCTGTGTGTGGGGAGGAGAACAATCATTCTCTCATCATGCAAATTGCCTCAAGAAAAAACAAAGTGCATATGTGAGTGGGAAAACAAGAGAAAACTCGGTTCAGATGAGCACTTGTTTGTGAGAAGCCTTCCTCCTGCCTGAACAGCAGGTTAAACTGTCCAGTGCTGGCAGTGAGGGAAATGGGAATGGCCCTGTCACTGCTGGGTAGGAGGGACCGGCCCCAGGCGGACCCCCAGCATGTTGTAGGTGGTGGCCGAGGCCTCGGACGGACACTGGGATGGAAGGAGGGCAGCTGGTGACCCATTCAGTGGTTTCCAGTCCCTGGCTGCGAGTCCCCGGGAAGCACCAGAGCACCGAGTCCCCGTGCTGGGCAGCGCGGTGTCTGCTGGGGTTCCGACCCCGGAGATCGGACAGGAGAGTGGGCAAGGTATCCCCTCCCTGCGCAGCTGAGCTCGGCTTTAAAGAGTGGTTTCGGCACGTACCAGCCTGTGTCTTGTGAAAAGCCTGTGGGAGGTTTTTAAAAGTGGTCATGTTTGAAAATGTGCTGTCACACACATCCACACAAAAAATCCCCAAAATATTTGAATCTGCATAAGCTCTTTGCAGAGTTTTACCTTGGTTTGTTTGGTTTTTTTTCCCTGTTTGCCAGAAGGAGTCGGGTTTTGGGGCAGGGTGGAACAAGCTCTCTGGAGGATGGCTTTTGATTCGTGCTCTTGCTTTATGTGATTCAGCAAGCAGCCGGCCAAAGGGACTTTTTCCACAGCGTGCGCTTCTTGGTGTGTGTGGCTCTGACCTTCCAGTGGTCACGTGCCGTTTGCTGGTGACAGGCTGCACCCTCTTATTTCTTAAACAAGCCCCAAATCTGTCAAGGCTGTGCACAATGGAGCTCTCTGCTGCCGAGGGCTCTGCAGGCAGACCCCGTTTGCTCTCTGCAGTTGCCCGTGCGATTGCCCGTATTTGTCTGACCTGTGGCAGTCTGTGTGGATGGACCTAAACCTTCAGGTCTGCACAGTTTTTGCTCTTCTTTGAGGCCTGATTTTTTTGTGGGCCCTTTGGAAAATATAGCCATTTCATTTTGCTGTCTTTTTTTTTTTTTTTCTTTCCTCCTCATTAGCAGTTACTAGCAAATTAGTGGGCAATCCTGCATTAATCATTTCCAGGATCTTTCAGTCTGTGGGCTTTAATTGACTGTGGCGTTGTTAAATTCCTCTCAGCAGCACGACTACCTCGGGGCAGGGGCAAACCGGGTGGTGAAAAGCAACGCTTTAGGAGCTGCATGGAAAGGGCAGAGGAAAGGCCGGGGGCCGGCTGGCCGCAAGAGCCTGGGTGTAAAAGCTCACGAGCATCGCTGCGGGGCTGGGGGCTGCTGGCGTGGTTGCTACCAGGAGTGTTGCTGAAGGGAAGAAAACCACAATTAATATGTCGTGTTTTACAACAAACACTGTGTAGCATTGCCCTAAACATCCAGTGTTATGGAAACACCGGCTAAAATGTGTAGTCACTGATAACAGCCGGCGAGCTGGAAGGCCCTCGGCTGTGCCCGGGAGCAGTGGTTGTCCCTGGTGGGACGAGCAGAGGAGCGACCCCGTGTCCCTGGTGCTGGGAGGTGCCCCGTGGCGTTGGTGGGTCCTCAGGAGCCCCCACCAGTGCTTGGGCAGTGTGGGGGGAAGCCTGGACCTGGAGGCTACGGGAGGTGGTGATGCTGGCAGGGGCAGGCAGGGCACGTGGGTGCTGGGGAGATGCGGTGAGCCGGTCGGGCAGGGGCTGTGTCACGGCCCTCCAGGGAGGTTATTTTGGGGACCAGCAGCCTGGACAGTGGGCGGTATAAGACATGGAGACCAGGTGTGTGTCCATTCTTTCAGTCCATGCATCTCCTTGCACTACTTCTACCCTCGGGGTCTAGGAGCGTTTTGCTTTTCATTCCCTGCACCCCGAGCAGCACCCCTGCCTCAAGGGCAGCACTGCTGGGCAGTACCGTGTCCGTGGCTGATGCACATGAATTTGGGGCGGGGGGGGAAGGAGCGTGACATGCAGGCCGGAGGGATCCCAGCCCCCTCTCGCTGACTCTCTCCCTTTGCCTCCACAGACTCACGCCTCACTATGTTTACCCCCAAGCTATCATCCAGCCCAGCGTGGTGATCCCTACCCCTGTGCAGTCCATCACGTCTCCCTACAT